TGTTACTAGTACATTTATTTTTAGTTGAATAATCAGAATTTAATTACACTACTTTATAAAAGATATAAATAAAATAATATTTTTTTTTGGTGTTTTGTGAACAGTGTCACACCAAATATGGTGTGACACTGTTCACAAAACACCAAAAAAAAAATTTGGTGTAAAATTTGCAGTTCCATTGGAGATGAAACTACACCAAATTTGGTGTTATAGAGTTCCGTTGGAGTTGCTCTAACCAAGTATCTTGTGATGATGAGGTTTAATATTGTCAATGATGTCCTACTTTTTTGACGGAACCACGCGTTTATAATATTTCTCGATTAGTTTTGAATACTTGTCATATAGTTGAAAAGTTACTAAATGTAGATTGTGACGTTCGCAAACAACTAACGAATATCACAATCGTCGTGTTTAACTCTACGTGTTTGATATGTGAAGTCATGATTTGATATATCAAAAGTTTAAACTAAGAAAACAAAGTTTGCAACGAATAAAAGAAAAAAGGATCAATGGAGCTTACCAAAGTAACTGACTGTTGAGCTGCGATAGTGAGCATATCTGCGCATGAAACGGTTCTCGGACAGGCTCTCTCAACCGCGGCTTTCATTCTATCAATCACAGGAAATCCACGAGCCGAATTGGCGTTTCCGAAGGCATCTTTCTCTGTTCGAAATGATGTTGTGTTGTCTAACAAGATCGATGCATCACAACCCTTTCAAAAATCCAAAATACCATTTAACAAATTATTAGTCAAATGTATTACATCCATACTTAAAAGTGTTTCCTTTTTTTTTTCTTTAAATCCATTAACAGTGTTTGTTCCTGGAGCAACATATATCTTTTACGAAAATATAAAATCATTATTATAATTAAAAAATTATTATGAACTGAATTCATATTCTAACACTACGTTACTGGTCAACGCGAATATTTATTTTTTCTAAGTGTTTTGTTATCGGGTTCAGGATACACACGTGTGAGGAGTTTTGGTTGTCTACCAAAATAACTTGTCTACGTCCCGCAATAATGAAACAAAATGATTGATGGGTCATAATTTCAGACTGTGTTTGGCACGGCACCATGATCTTCCTAAATAAAACACGGGTAATTTCATGTTCGGTGAATCCGTGATCAATAACTAACCAATAAGCCATCATCATTGTCGACTAAAGTCAAGTGTTCATTATTTAATGCCAAAACCAAACATATGACATGTTTTATTTTTTACGTCTTTTTTTTATTACACCAGGTGTGGACAGTTTCCTCAAATGAGGACAGTAGAGGTCGAAGCGTTGATGCCTTGAACGTGCAAGTGGTATAAACTACTGTACTACAAGTGTTCTGGCATGACATGTAACCATGTGATATGTTCGTTAGCCCTAGTGACTTTTATTCAAGATACCATTTTACCCTAACTTACACCAGTCATTCACAAAATAACCAAAAAAAAGGTTTTTTAATAACAAAACAAGAATTATTATGGATTAGATCTACCCAATCTTTCAATTATGTATATGCAAGTACCCTAAACCATTTGATGTCTTTTTCAACAAACCATGTGTTATATGAAAACCATGATATTGAAAAAAAGGATCTTGAATTTTTATCAACCAAAAATTCTGAAGACCAACGGAGATTAATGATTATTTTTCATTATCGTGACCGAATTCGTGAAACTCTCCCATTTGGACGGTTTAACC